GCCTTCCAGATTTTCATCCATGGAATCCTTCCCAAGTTCCCTCAAAGTTTGGTAAAATCAGCCTTTTTAAAGTCTAATACACTGATTTTTATTATGTTCTATTGTTTGTGTTTGATTATTTTGAATTCCAGTTTAACATAGTCACTCTTCCCCAAAGTTCTGGAAACTTCAACCCCCTCTATCACTTCTTTTCTGTTAGTAAAAATTAGATTCTGTATAGATGTCTCTCTAGTTCTGTGATGGCAAACCTATGGTATGTGTGCCAGAGGTGGCACGCAGAGCCCCCTCTCTGGGCACATGAGCCATTGCCCCAGCTCAGCTCTGCCACACATGCATGTGCGCACCTCCAACCAGCCAACTGATCTTTGGGTCCCTGCCGTGCATGCATGGGACAGGACACATATGTCGGGGGGTTGTGTACAGGGACGCAGGGGGATTGTGCATGCATGTATGGCAGGGCACCTGTGCGCATTGCATTTTGAGGGTGCGTGCGCACACTTTGGGCACTTGGTGCCAAAAAAGTTTGCTATCATTCCATCCTCTACTTTTTGGATGACAAAGTTGTCAGTTAGCTTGGTCAGGAACCTGTTCTCTCTCCCCCTTCATGAAGAGATAATCTCCAAGATGATGTCAGAGTACTAAAATCCCTCATTATTACTATGGTGTGTTTCCTACATATATTTGTTAAATCATTCATCTATTTCTTCTGCTTGATTGGGTGGCCTGTAGTATATATCTATGGCAATTGTCATTCTTTTTTCCTTTTATATTCCCATGTGCATTCTAGTAGGCTTTCATTTTTGGTTTTATGCATTTCTGTAGAGATGTGGTGATCTTTTACATATAATGCAATTTTACCTCCTCTTTTGTTAGATCTGTTTCTTTTTAATAGTTTGTATCCTCCATCATTCCAGACACAAGTTCCATCCCACCAAATTTTGGTAATGTCAACTATATATTACTTGCCTTTATGTGCTAGTATTTTAAGTTCATCTTGTTTGTTCTCCAAACTTTGAGCATTTGTGTATGTGCATTTTCCTGATTGACTGATCCTGGCTATGCTTCCTAAATCTCCTACTTTGTTACTGAGTTTTTCTTCCTTCCGAACACTCCCTGCCTCATTGTTTGATTGGTTATCTTGGGGTTTATGCTTGAGATTAGGTTCCAAACATCCTAAGGATCGGTCTCCCTCTCCCCTCAATTTCAACTTAAAGCTTTTCTGATTTTGAGCCAGCAATTTTCCAAATACATTCTTGCCAATATTGTGAGGTGCAGCTCATTCCTTGTCAGAAACCCTTCATATAGGTACATGGTCTAGGAACTTGCATTATTGCTAGACCAATACTTGAATACAGCTCATCAGTCTGGAACATGCATTATGTATCTGATACTAATACAGTTGAGAAAGTCAGAAATATTTCACAAGAGTTCTCCCCTCCTCTACTTGTTGCAGAATACCTTATGCCACCAGACTTGAAATTCTAGACCTAGAAAACCTAGAACTATGACGCCTTCAGTCCAATCTAAGTATAGTACATAAAATTATACAGTATATTGCAATATCCTACCTATCAATGAATACTTCAGCTTCAACCATAACAACACAAGAGCACACAATAGATACAAACTCAAGGTAAACCACACCAAACTTGATTGCAGGAAATATGACCTCAGCAACAGAGTGGTCAATATCTGGAATACTCTACCTGACTCTCTAGTTTCTTCCCCAAAACCCAAAAACTTTAACCTTAGACTGTCTACTATTGACCTCACCCCTTTCCTAAGAGATCTGTAGGGGGCGTGCATACCAACATGCCTACCATCCCTGCCCTATTGTTTCTTTTATTTTTCTTATATGTATCCATAACTATGTTTGTACTTATCATATAATCACTTGACAAAATAAATTTAAAAAAAATATCTTGTCTTAGTTTGAGGAGAGGGGAATGTCATGAGTCTATTTTGAATTTTAGAGCCGTTAACTTTAGTAGCCGTTAACTACTATCCGCATCTACATATACTCTGTGAACTATTAAGGAGGGAGTGTCTTCACCCCCTTTTCTCATACATGATATGTTAGCATTTGGTCCTTTGGAATCAATGCCTTCTTTCCTGGGGATTCACTGCCTCACTATATTTTATCATATCAGTAGTGAATAGGGTGAAAGTTAAGTTTCAGAGCCAGTCATAACTAAATAATGTCTAAATTTTGAAGGTCCCAATGTGATATTATGGAAACCATTATTTCATAAATATTTCTTTTAGTGCCTGCCAGATTCCTTTAAAACCATGAGGTTTCATTGATTTATATGGTAGACAGATAAATTTAATTATTGCAAAACAGGCGGATGACATCAATTTCAGTGTAATCATCTGTCTTAAAAGCCTCTCTTGGGCCTCATTTCTTATAAAATGAAAATGGAAGGTGCCCACATGCCATTACTTGGGAGGGGTCTGTATGCCTATCAAGTTAAAAGATATGTAGAATAGGAAAGATGAGTTTGATGTAAATGGGCCAGATCTGTTACTAATGCAAGGAGGATAAAATATGACAGAATTCCAAAGCAAACAAAAAGTACCATAAGTGGCTCAGATAAGTGGCTCACTGATTCATAATGATATAGGAAGAGGAGGAAGCATAACATGTTCAACTTGCAAGATTCTGTTATTATAGCCACTCTCAATAGCTTTTCTCTGGAGATTATTCTGGTTCTGATGTATTAGGTGGGGTTAACAGGCAAAAAAAGAACCAGAAATATAAGCTGATAGTAAAAAGGGGGAGGTGGTATGTAGTATCAGATGTAGGCCAGACCCAGCTTATAAAAGCACAGAATATAAAATTTATGATTGGCAACATCCACTGTGGCAACCATTTAGTACAACCCTCCAGGAAAACATTTCAAAAATACACATGAATAGCTCCCAAAGCTTGAGAATTTTTTGTTTTTTGTAAAAATTTTATTTGGGTTTTCACAAAACATAATACAAATAAAATATCTTTTTTTGAGAATAGCATGATCCCGGGTTATCACTTCTCCATACAGACACAAACTCAATTTCATATTCATCTTCATATTCCATATCTTATTACTATTTCAACATTTTCTCTATGATTTTCCCCTCCCTTAGTTTTCTCAACCTTGTTTTTAATTATCTCATACCTATCTAAATTCAATTATATATCTTTTTCTAAGTTTCAATGTCTTTCTAATCGTTATATTTATACTTTTGTCTGTCCTGTTTCAATTTCATATTTTCTTTTCTTATTAAAACAAATTTTCCCCTGTAGTTACTGATTGGAGTATGACACCTTTGTATCTTTTAATTATGTCCATTCAACTCTTATTTAAACTTCAGTTTATGCCTTTACAATTATAACATTCAATATAACACATAACTTCCAATCGAATGCTGCTTGATACATTCTTAAAACACATACTATGTTCTTAAAGAGAAAATATATATATATAACAATAGTAAATAAAATACTTAATCTATTCCAATTCAGCTCTATCATTAATGTTAGTTACAATCTTTAACATCTTTAACATTTCTTTTCAATTGAATATCATACTTCCTTAGGAACATTTATAATATTTCCATTTTTTTCATATTTCTTTCATGTTTCTCTTCACTTAAATTTTTATAAATCATTAATAAATAAAATGTTCCCATCCTTTCCTAATTTCATTCTCTCATTCTCTTTATTTCATTTATTTATTAACAAACATTCCATTACATTACAATAAGTATTTTATCTATCATTTTGATCACACTTGTTTCATATTTTCTAAGTTTATTTCTATTTCTAATATAACAATACTATCTTATATAGCCTTGCAGAATCCCTCTTTCAATTAAATTTTCACCCATTATCTCTATGTCTTCTAAATAGGCTTATACCGTTAATCCTTGTACATTTTCCCTGTTTCTCTATATCTTGGTTCTATCCGTTATAACTTCTTTTCCTTTCCTTCTTCCCCCTCTTCTTCTCCCTCCCCTTTTTGACCGCTTGTCTCTCTAATTCTAATTATCTCTCCTGTAATCCTCTCTTCTGTTTCTTCCTAATAATGTAATTACTTTTCAAGGTATTCTTCTTTTTTTTTCAAATCTTAAACTTTTCATTCTCTTTCCTCCCTTTCCTTTTTTTCCCCCACATAAAATTACTTGGTCATTAAAGATGGCTTCTTCTTTGTCCCACCCTTCTTGTTCTACAAGCATTTCTTGTTGTTTCTCATAGTTCAAGATCTCCATTTCTAAAAATTGAAATATGAAGCCAAAAAACCCTCTTCCTTCTTTTGCATCTTCTTTCTGTTTTTTAAGTTCCATTTTCAGTTCTCCCAAGAGTGATGCCATTTTAAACACTTTTAAACAACCACCTGATTGATTTTAGTCATTTAAATCCAATAACCAAAAATCCAAAAGTCACCAAGTAATCCAAATAATCCAAAACTGTTTCTTCTTAATCCTTTCTTCCACTTTCTCTTCCTGGGGTTCTATTATCTTGTTACAAAGTTTCAGTTAGAATGTATCTTTTAGGAATCTTGTTGAAGTTTCGCTGTAAATTCCTTTTACTTCCAGGCAGTCTCCTCCATTTTTCCAGATCCCGCCCTTTTATTTTTTCCTTTTCTCTCCTTTCCTTCTTTTAAACATTTTTGAATATCCAAAAGTCTTTGTTATCCCTTTGACATTTTATTTTCAGCTTGAATGCCTATTAATGTCAAAGTGGATTTTTGTCAGTTTCTTACTTAAATCTCCTAACTGTCAATGTTAGTGAAGGAAAGAAAAAAAAGCCAAATCCTTTCCCTTCTCTCTCTCCTTCACCTCTTCAAAATCTTTTTTGGGAACAATGTTATTCTTTATAGTTCAAATTCCAGGGTACTTTATATTATTGCTTTTTCAGTTCAACCCAGTCAACCAAAACTTTCTCTTCTTATCTTCCTCCTGCACATTTTTTTCTGGTCAAGTTCTTCTTTGAGGTGACCATTTCTGACCACTGATGCAACCGCCTTCAGGAAAGGGAGTAATGGTCAGCTGGAGAGGAGAGATGCAGTTCTCCTCGACCCTACTGGTGGTCTCCCCGTTCTTCACCACCTGTACGGGGTGGCTTTGCCCCAAATCCAGCCGGCTCAGGACATTCCAGCAGCGAGCACGGATTGAAACTGTGCACGATTCCAGATTTTGGTCCATCGCTGAAGAAGCTCAAACCGGAAAGTCCCTCAAAGCTTGAGAATTCTTGTCCTAACATACATTCACATATGTTAGAACAATAACAAGCATTCTCAGCTGATTAAAAAGTAGTCCTATTTAATCAGGATATTATTTCATGATAGTAAATTAGTTATTTTCTGGGGGGACGAGCGGTCTGCCACCTCCAAGTGGTGTCCCCTGGATGCGCGAAGCCGTCAAACGCTGACCGTAACTGAGAGCAGACCCTCCGACGACAGGCCCACGCGACAGGCCGGCTGGAGTACTCAAATGCCGCATCAACATGATGGAAACGTCCACTACAAAACACACGTCCAATGCTACCGCGTTCGGGGGAACCGACGGGCGCAGGAGACCATTGGCCTGCACCAAAAATCAACGAAATGGTCCACGCGGAAAGCACGGCCGTGTGAAAAAACGCAAGCGGGGAACAGAGGACTGCCAGACGCTCAAGGTGGCCACCTGGAACGTGGATTCGCTGACTGGACGCTCGACCGAGATCGTCAGGGCCATGCGGGACAGGAAGCTGGACATCTGCTGCCTCCAGGAAACTCGCTGGAAGGGCAACAAGGCTACGACTATAGACGGCTACAAGATCATATACACCAGCTGTAAGGAAAACCGCGGCGGTGTAGCTGTGGTTGTCAGTCCAAGCTGGCAAAGTTCCGTCGCAGAAGTTAAGCGCCTCACAGAACGACTGATGATAATCATCGTAGCGACCGAGAGGCAGCACCTACACATCTTGTCCGCCTACGCCCCTCAGACCGGATGTCACGAGGAGGAGAAGGATACCTTCTGGGAACTGCTCGACATCCAACTCAGGCAGATCCCACACGAAGACGACATCATCATCTCGGGCAACCTGAATGGTCATGTAGGGCGGGACAAAAACGGACACCAGTGCCACGGTGGGCACGGCACAGGCGATACGAATGAGAATGGCCAGAGGATCCTGGACTTTGCCGACTCCCATGATATGACCATCACGAATACCTGCTTCATTAGGCGAGAATCTCAACTCCTCACCTACCATAGCAGAAACGGGAGCCACCACACACAGATCGACTACATCATCGTACGACGAAGAGCCGCTAAAAACGTGCTCAACGCCAAGGCGTACCCGTACGAATCGAGCAGTCAGCACAGGCCGCTGATGGCGAAGATCAGGATCAGCAAGCCCAAGACCAGGATTGACAAAAGAAATGCAGACCAGCCACGAATCAAGTGGTGGAACCAGAAGAAGATGGCGGGACCCCTCATCAAACCGGAGCAGTTCCCGCAGATGGTCGACGGGCCACAGGAAGCGTGGTCCATGCTGAAGAGCACTGTTCACACTGCCGGCTGCCAACAGCTTGGTTGCACCAAGCCAGGACGGAGACGCATCGAACGAGATACATGGCTCTGGACACCGGAAGTACAAGATGCCGTACACCTGAAGAAACGGCTCTACGAGGCCTTTCTTCAGGACAAGACCAGCGAGAAGCTCTGCGAATACAAGGCGGCCAAAAAGGCAGCCAAGAAAGCAGTAGCGATAGCCAGAAGCTCCCACTACGATGACATCTACGAGAAGCTGAACACGCGAGAAGGCGAGAATGAGATCTACCGCCTAGCCAAAAGCAGACACAGGAAGACCCTGGACATTGACCAGTTTCATGGGATCAACGACGAAAGGGGAAATTTGATCGTCAACCCCAGAGACGCTGCGGAGAGGTGGCGGCAATACTTCGAGAAGATCTCCACCGAGGAGTTCCCACACCCACGAACCCCGCGAGGTGACCCAGTTGAAGGCCCAGTCTCAGGCATTTATGCCAGCGAGGTCGCCGACGCCATCAAGGCCATGAAAAACGGTAAGGCAACAGGACCAGACGACATCCCTGCCGACTTCTGGAAAAAGGCACTACCGGGCTCGGCATTGTGGCTGTGCGAGCTGTTCAACAACATCGTCTCCACGGGAAAAGTGCCACACGACTGGTACCGCAGCACCACTGTTCCGATCTGGAAGGGAAAGGGCAGCCCAGCGGACTGCTCCAACTACAGACCGGTCAGGTTACTGTCACACACTATGAAGATCTTTGAACGCGTCCTTGATAAGCGCATTCGGGACACCGTCGACATCAGCGTCAACCAGGCTGGATTCATCAAGAACTGCGGCACCACCGACGCCATCTTCGGTGTGCGGATGCTGATGGAGGCTCACAGAGAGAAGAAAATCCCGCTCCACACCGCCTTCCTAGACTTGGAAAAGGCCTTCGACCGAGTCCCGCACGATCTCATCTGGTACGCACTGCGAGACCACGGTGTGCCTGAGCTGCTCGTACAATGGGTCCAACTCCTATACAGATGTCACAAAAGCCGTGTAAAAGCGGCAGCTGGGATATCAGAGGAGTTTAATATTACCGTCGGCGTACACCAGGGCTCTGCTCTCTCACCACTGCTGTTCATTCTGGTGATGGACACAATTACACACGACCTGTACACGCCCGCCCCATGGACGCTGCTCTACGCCGATGATGTGTTCCTGGCCAACCTGTGCAAGGCTGAACTAGAGCACCGAGTCCAACAGTGGCACGACCGCCTCGAGAAGTTCAGGCTCCGGCTGAACCTAAAGAAGTCCGAATACCTGACCACTGACAATGAAATGACAGGCTCCATCCACGTGAACGGGCAGGAGCTACCGCGCGCCTCCACCTTCAAGTACCTGGGAACTACTCTTGGGGAAGAAGGCCTACTACAAACTGAGGTGGCAGCCAGGATCAATGCAGCGTGGGGCAAATGGAAGTCCGTCACGGGCGTCCTCTGTGACAAGAAGATGCCGATGCGCCTGAAGGCGAAAATCTATAACTCTGTGGTGCGCCCCGTGGCCATATACGGCGCAGAGTGCTGGCCGACGACCAAAGAAGTCGAAAGCAGACTCCAAGATAATGGAGATACGAATGCTCCGATGGTCGGTAGGCCTCACCCTACTCGATCGCGTCAGGAACGAAGAAGTGCGTAGACGGTTCAACGTCGTGCCCATCCCCACAGTCATGAGGCAGTCCCGGCTACGATGGTTCGGCCACGTGAGCCGCGCCAAGGAAGAATCCATCATCAAATCTGTAATGAAGGTGACTGTCGGAGGAGCGAGACCGCGTGGTAGACCTAAACAACGCTGGATGGACACGATCAAGGCCGATCTAGAGATCGCGAAGGCAGACCCGACACACGTGGCAGACAGAGAGGTGTGGAAGCAGTACTCAAGGACATTAGCGGACCTCGCCCGAGCGCGAGACAAACGCTGAAGAAAAAGAAGAAGTAAATTAGTTATTTTCTGGTTTTTAATTAATGGATGGAATACACACCTTTTACTTAATACTATATATGTAAATCCCAATATACATCAGTTATTTCTGCCCAGGCTGCAGTGAGCTGTATTGGCTCTAGTTGAATACATTCTAAGTGGCCTTTTAAGCATAATATTCATATATTTTTCCATCAATCTAAAAATGAATTTGTGTAAGAAAGAGAGAAGTAAACATATACATTCCACATCACTGTCTCATTTTGAAAGCAGAGACTCTATTGTATCTTGTCTTGGTCAAACCCACTTAGAGTATTTTATCATTTTATATACATATATATCATTATTTTGTCTTACCAGTTAATGAATATTTCAGCTTTAACCACAACAACACAAGAGCACACAACAGATATAAACTTAATTAAACCACTCCAAACTCAATTGCAGGAAGTACAATTTCAGCAACAGAGTGGTCAATGTCTGGAACTCACTACCTGATTCTATTGTCACCCGCTCAAACCCCCACTCTTCAAACTAACCTCTATTGACCTCACCCCATTCCTAAGAGGTCTGTAAGGGGGATGCATAAGCGCACAATCGTGCCTACCATCCCGTCCTATTGTCCCCAATTATTAGTTCCTATTTCTTATTTTTAAACTTATGTTTATTCTTATTTCTATTATATTGTAAGCTTTTGACAAAATAAATAAATAAATAAATCTACAGCTCAAGAAGGATTCAGACAAAGTAACACAGGTTCAAGTAAGGGCAACAAGTATGATCAGAGGATTATAAATTAAGATTTATCAATACAAGTTGAAGAAGTTGCATGGGCTTTGCATTAAGGAGAGAAAACAAAAGCCATATAGCACTTCTTAAGTACCTGAAAAGATCACACTAAGAATACAATTAAATACTGTTCTCTATCATCTTAGAACTGTGATGGTGAACTTGCACCTGCGTGCCAGAGGTGGCATGCAGAACCCTCTCTATGGGCACACAAGCTGTCGCCCCAGCTTAGCTCTGTTGCGCATATGCATGCATGCTCCCCACCGACCAGCTGGTCTTTGGGTCTCTGCCATGCATGTGGGGGGGCACATATGCGGGGGATGAGGCCCATGTAGGGGGGATGTATGCACATGCATGGGGGATGGGTGCATGCACAGGGGACGCATGCATATTGCATTTTGGGAGTGCACATGTGCACGCTTTGGGCACTCGATGCCAAAAAGGTTAGCCATCACTGTCCTAGAACATGGGGAATAAATGATTTGTTATAGGAAGCAAATTTTTGTCCGTAAAGATTGAAGCTGACAATTTCCTGCTTTCTAGCTAATCTAAACCTCCCGGCACAGCAGAACAGCTGATGGTCAGAAAAAGGAAAAATAGCAATTTAGCAGGCAAGTTTGCCGGGTAAGGAGTGAGTGGCCGGGGAGGGTTCCCACGGACCATGTGGGTGGTGCAGCCTTGTGTTCCTGCACAGCCTGGATTAATTGCTTTGGGGGGGGGGGCGCTCTGGGGGTGACATTTCTATAGGACCACCAAAATTTTCTCATGGACCACCAGTGGGCCACAGCCCACCAGTTGGTGACTGCTGGTCCAGAGCATAAATACTCGTGTGTTTAACAGAGTTGAAAGGGGTTTTGGAGGTCTTCTAGACCAACTCCCTCTCAGGCAGAAAAAATGAGGATGCTAAACTCTGAGTAGAGGTCATATTCTTTACCTGTTAATATTTGTTGCTCACCACCTTTCTTGATTCTTCATTCCACCATGAAGTTCTTCCTAATATTCATTCAGAGACTTCTTGTACCTTCTGGCAGTTATTCCATGCCCTTTTTGGCAGTTACCATATTTACTGAGTCATTTTCAGCTTGTCTTCAATTTCCATTACAAGACTTTTTGCACAAGGTTTCTTACAGTTTATACCTTTTCAGTGGAATTTTTTTATTTGTTAAATGAAAATATTCCTATATTATATTCAGATAAGAACATATGATAAAATACATTGTATAGGAAAATTATACACTGCTGAAAAAAATAAAGGGAACACAAAAATAAGACATCCTAGATCTGAATGAATGAAATATTTTTATTAAATACTTTGTTCATTACATAGTTGAATGTGCTGACAACAAAATCACACAAAAATTATCAATGAATGTGCTGACAACAAAATCACACAAAAATTATCAATGGAAATCAAATTTAGCAACAAATGGGGGTCTGGATTTGGAGTTACACTCAAAATTAAAGTGGAAAAAACAACACAGGCTGATCCAACTTTGATGTAATGTCCTTAAAACAAGTCAAAATGAGGCTCAGTAGTGTGTATGGCCTCCACATGCCTGTATGACCTCCCTACAACACCTAGGCATGCTCCTGATGAGGTGGCGGATGGTCTCCTGAGGGATCTCCTCCCACACCTGGTCTAAAGCATCCCCAACTCCTGGACAGTCTGTGGTGCAACGTGGCATTGGTGAATGGAGCGAGATATGATGTCCCAGATGTGCTCAATTGGATTCAGGTCTGTGGAACGGACAGGCCAGTCCATAGTATCAATGCCTTCATCTTGCAGGAACTGCTGACACACTCCAGCCACATGAGGTCTAGCATTGTCATGCATTAGGAGGAACCCAGGGCCAACCACACCAGCATATGGTCTCACAAGGGGTCTGAGGATCTCATCTCGGTACCTAATGGCAGTCAGGCTACCTCTGGTGAGCACATGGAGGGCTGTGCGGCCTCCTAAAGAAATGCCACCCCCCACCATTATTGATCCACTGCCAAACCGGTCATGCTGGAGGATGTTGCAGGCAGCAGAACGTTCTCCACGGCATCTCCAGACCCTGTCACGTCTGTCACATGTGCTCAGTGTGAACCTGCTTTCATTTGTGAAGAGCACAGGGCGCCAGTGGCAAATTTGCCAATCTTGGTGTTCTCTGGCAAATGCATGGTGTTGGGCTGTAAGCACAACTCCCACCTGTGGATGTTGGGCCCTCATACCACCCTCATGGAGTCTGTTTCTGACAGTTTGAGCAGCACATGCACATTTGTGGCCCGCTGGAGGTCATTTTGCAGTGCTCTGGCAGTGCTCCTCCTGTCTCTCCTTGCACAAAGGCAGAGGTAGCGGTCCTGATGCTCGGTTGTTGCCCTCCTACAGCTTCCTCCATGTCTCTTGATGTACTGGCCTGTCTCGTGGTAGTGCCTCCATGTTCTGGACACTACGCTGACAGACACAGCAAACCTTCTTGCCACAGCTCACATTGATGTGCCATCCTGGATGAGCTGCACTACTTGAGCCACTTGTGTGGGTCGTAGACTCCATCTCATGCTACCACTAGAGTGAAAGCACCACCAGCATTCAAAAGTGACCAAACCATTAGCCAGAAAGCATAGGAACTGAGAAGTGGTCTGTGGTCACCACCTGCAGAACCACTCTGTTTTGTTTGAGCAATGAGAGGCTGAACCAGAGCATGAGTGCAACAATACTTTATTTTACAATAAAGGGCTGACCGTGCTTGCCAAGCCTGGAACTGGCTCGCAGCAATCAGCAATCGGTTGGACCCCGCAGCCTGCTTTTATAGCTGGCTGCTGGGGAGAGCCAACCAATGGGAATGGGGGAATAACGCCCACGTAAAGTGAGTGGACCTGAGTGAGAACTCCTTGAGTCCTCAGGACATAACACCCCTTCCCCCCAGATGCGAACATGCATAGTCCTTGAGGTAGATGGGGGGTTTGTGTTGGCGCCCGGAACGGCGCAACTCGGGAACATTGTCTGTCTGTTCGGTACCAGTCTGTGATGGTCGAGCCGGCATAGTGTCGCCAACACTCTCTCTGGACTGGGCATCCTCGGGAAACACCGGGTTGGTTACTGGGGTCGAGCTCTCGTGGGTTGGATCAGGCTGGTCAACTCCCTGGGCGCTGTTGTCCGAGTTTGGGCTGACCGGAACGACCGCTGGTGCAGACTGGTCGCTGGGTACGATGTGGCTGGGCGGCGGATGAGGCGGTTCCCCTTCGACTGGAGACTCTGGACTCTTGTTGGCAAGGGTGCTGAGGCGCCTTCTAAGCTGGTCTATATGTCTCCTCCATGTTCTAACCCCCGACGTAGAAGCGAGGGGAGAGTCAGGGCAGTATTGTGGGTGCAATCTGTCCAATACAGTCCTCAGGCGCCGGTCCATCAGAAGTTCCGCTGGGGACTTATTTGTGACTGCACAGGGGGTTGAGTGTTGGCTCATCAGGAACCGTGCGAGTTTGTGGTGCCAGTCATCCCTGCCAAACCTAGCGAGGGCCTCTTTGGTGGTCCTGACGGCCCTTTCAGCCAACCCATTACTGGCAGGGTGAAATGGGGCTGTGAAAATGTGGCGAATGCCCAGGTTGGCAGCAAAACGGCTGAATTCTACTGATGCGAACTGTGGGCCATTATCGGAGACAATGGAGTCGGGTAGTCCATGTGTAATGAACAGGCACGTTAACACGTTGGTGATTGCTAGTGTGGTGGTCGTGGATAGCTGCGCCACGTCTATCCATTTGGAATAAGCGTCCGCGACCACTAGGAACATCTTTCCATGCACGGGGCCTGCCAGATCGATATGGATTCTAGACCAAGGGGCGTTGGCGCTCTCCCATCTGGTAGGGGTGGCGATGGGGGGAGCAGGACGGGATTCCTGGCAAATGCTGCAGGAACTTACCCAATTGACAATGTCCTCGTCTAGACCCGGCCACCACACGTAGCTGCGTGCTAACGCCTTCATTCTCACAATGCCGGGGTGTCCCTCGTGCAATGCCTCCAGGACTCGGGTACGCAGCGAGGTCGGAATGACCACTCGAGTGCCCCACAGTAGACAACCCTGCAAACTGGACAGCTCCTGCATGCGAGTCTTAAAGGGTGCGAATTTGTTATCGACGTTGCCTCCCGGCCACCCCCTCCTCACCCAGTCGAGCACCTGGGCGAGCGTTTGGTCTGCCTTGGTTTTAGCGGCGATGTCAAGGGCGGTGATGGGCAGGTCCAACTGGGTGATTTCAAAAATGGCGTTGACAGGAGCTGGGTCTTCAGCCGGAGCGGGTAAGGGGCAGCGACTGAGAGCGTCGGCGTGGGATAGAGTTTTGCCCGGGCGGTGAATAAGTTTGTATGAATAGGCCGCTAGGAAAAGTGTCCACCTTGTCATTCTAGGGGAAAGGACTTGAGGTGTCTGTTTGTCGCCGGCCAGTAGGCCCAGGAGGGGCTTATGGTCGGTGACCAGTTCGAAGAAATGGCCAAAAAGGAATTCGTGAAACTTTTTCACGGCTGCAACAGCTGCTAGGGCTTCCTTGTCTATTTGGCTGTAATTTCGCTCCGTGGCCGAGAGCGTCCTGGAGAAAAAGGCGATGGGGGCCTCGGCGCCATTGGGGAGTCTGTGACTAAGGACCGCCCCAATTCCAAAAGGGGATGCGTCTGCTGCCAGTACTAAAGGAAGGTTGGGGTCGAATTGGATGAGCACTGCCTCTGACGTAAGTAGTGATTTGACGGCGTTAAACGCCTGGTCTTCTTTGTGCCCCCAGTGCCACGGTGACTTTTTGTCTAGTAATCTGTGTAGGGGTTCGGCTACTGAGGCTTTATGGGGCAAAAAGGATGCATAAAAGTTTAGGAGTCCCAAGAAAGCTTGTAGCTCCGTTTTGGAGGTCGGTGTGGGAGCTTCGTGGATCGCCCTGACCTTGGACTCCAGGGGGTGAATGCCAGAGGCGTCAATTTTATAACCCAGAAAGTCCACCTGTCTAGTGGCAATGGCACATTTTTCTTTTTTTAACCTGAGGCCATGCTGTCTGAACCTCTCTAACACTGCTCGCACTCTCTGGAAGAGTTGGGGTCTGTCCCTGGCCGAGACCAAGATGTCGTCGAAGTAGGGTACTACACCAGGGAGGCCCTGTAAAATCCGCTCCATGAGGGACTGAAAAATACCCGGGGCAACACTTACGCCAAATTGGAGACGCTTGCATCGGAAGGCACCCCTGTGAGTGACGATGGTCTGAAGTTCCGCTGTTTGGTTATCAACAGGGAACTGTTGATATGCTTGAGACATGTCCAATTTAGCAAAAATACTGCCCGGTTCGAATGTGTGCAATAAGTGCTGAATGACGGGCACAGGGTAGGCGCTAACTTGTAAATATTTATTGATTGTTGTCTTGTAGTCCGAGCAAATTCTCAGGCTACCATCTTTTTTGAGGGGTGTGACAATGGGCGTCTCCCACTTGGCGAAATCTGTTGGCTCAATGACCCCTTGTTTTAGTAGTTTATCCAATTCTGCGTCTACTTTTGGTCGAATAGCAAATGGAACTCTATGTGGTTTTAATCTGATTGGGACTGCCTGGGGGTCAATGGTGAACGAGATGGGGGTTCCATTATAACACCCCAGCTCCTCGCTGAACACATCTGCGTAGTCAGCGAATAAGGAGTCAGTGTCTGAGGTTGAGACAGCATGGACTCCTGTTAACCCTAGGCCGAGGTGGGGAAACCAATCGAGCCCCAATAAGGTGGGTAGATTGCCGTTAACTACCACTAGAGGTAGGTGGCCTTTAAAAGCTCTAAAACTGACAAAGAACTTGCCTCTGCCTATCACGGGAATGGCCTTCCCCTGGTAGTCCTTCAGACCGAACTGGCATCTCTGAAGCCGGGTAGTAGATAGGCTGGGGTGGAGTCTCTTGAGGGTGTTCCACGAGATTATTGAGAGCGCTGACCCTGTGTCAACCTCCATGTGGCACGGTTTACCTTCTAGGGAAACGGAGAGAGAAATTTTACTAACAGTGTGGCAAGTATGCCTGGCAAGGCGGTGCGTGCGACAGTTTAATACTTGCCTCTGTGGTCCCGAGTGCGAGGACGGGGGTCTGTGTGCAGCACTTTGGGGGGCTTGGCAGACTCTCGCAATGTGCCCCCTCTTATGGCAGTTGTTGCAAAGTGGACAGTTTGATTTCACAGAAATGTGATTGACTTGGAGTTACATTGTGTTAAGTGTTCCCTTTATTTTTTTGAGCAGTTTACATAAGGAAAGTTACATTAAATAATTATCCTGGAAGTACAGTAAATGCATATGTTGTCTATAAAAATACCCATGCAATATTGGTATAAGAGCCAGTTGCATATACTGGTTAAGATATCAAGCTAGAAACTGGAAGACCATGAGTTCCAGCCCTACTTTAGGCTCAAACTAGTGATTTGGAGGCAGATTTTAAAATAGATTTGGGAAGGACTGCTTGGAAGGAAGCATAATTTATTCAGTTCTGATTTATAAATGGATAGTTTTTGCAATAATGCACTAGGCAAGGTATGATACTTCACAATTCAGTGTGCCAAATACAATGTGAAGGTCAAAAATATGGTAGTTTAGATCATCTAGAGCACTATATTTACATGTCTTTATTATGTATCATCGAAAACAGAAAAATATCCCGTTCCCACTCAGGTGTACAGATTGCTTTGAAATTCAATCTTGTCGACTTGTCATATTTTTTTCATAACTACCCTTGGGCTAATAGAATAATAGTGTAGCAGAATTGCTACTGTAGAGATAGTAAGTGTTTACATTGAATAAAATAAATGTACTATATATGAAATGTTTACTCATTCAATTCTTTGGTCTGCAAACTGGCTATAAAATTTAAATGTGTAAATCAATAAATGTTGTAGCTCATAATTGTTTCTTCTATCCTGTGCTGAAAGTGAAATAAGCAGAAGGTGCTTGTATCGGAATTCTTTTTAAATATAATTTTTTAGTCCCAAATAATCAAAGTATAGATTATCCTTATGTTTTCTATTCTTCTTTAAGGAACTAATCATAACTTTTCCTTCTTTGGTTGAGACTTCTTTTTATTGCTTGCAGTCAAAAGGGGGAAGGAAATGGAGCTTTGCAAAGAAACAAGTTATTTTCTCCAAATACATTTCCATAATTTAAACTGTTTGAAATTGCTATTAGCCATGGAAGGAAAAAGTCAGCTACCATATTCTTTTACAGAATCAAGAGCACAGTAGCAATTTGAAGGATTAGATAAGAAAAGGGATTAGGATAACAATTATTAGTCCTCCCTCAACGCTGTGGTTCTAGTCAATAATTGTATACTACAATTAAGCAAAAATATTGGAATAACTTATTATCTAAGTTCCCATATTTCCTATAGCATGCCAATTTAGAATGCTGTAAAATTATTCCCTTAAATTTGTAGATCAGTCAGCAGAAAATACCAATGTGCATAACTACACAATTACATCAGGCTTGAAAAACCTTGTGTCATAATTCTCACAACAATACTACCTTGCATAATTTTATACTTGTGTGTATTGCAAAGTGAATTAATTTCAGTGTGACCAGAAGAAAACAGACATGGACAACTGATTATTAATTATTAGTTATCAAACTTACTGTAACCTTAATTTAAAAACAAACAGATTTATTGACTTCAAGCTCTAAATAAACACAAAAATTCATTTGTTGCCATTCAGAATGTTTTTTTTATTTTGCATGCAAAGAAAAAATGATTACCATACTATTTTAAATATAGGGAAGTTTTGACAAATTTGGTATAGATACTATTTTTTGGAAATGACTTTTTGGTAATTTAGGTTATACCATTTAGTCACTAGAAATTTTAAAAAATATAGCTTCTAAAAAGTTAATTTGACAAGAAAGGTGCTGTCATATAGCAGTATTTCAAGAACACTCCTGGGATTTTCATTTATAGGATGTTTTTGGTGGATAAATATCTTTGTATATTGTTGGTAAACCATCTACTGCTTTCCTTGATTCTACTTATATTTACTATAACAATCAACTCCACCCCCAGTTTGATCTCATTTCCAGCTAGAACTTGTTGTTTAGAGCTGTTACCCTGTCTCCAAATACAGTTCTAAGTATCTATATTAGACATTATTTTGTGACTAATGCAATATGTTAGCTGCTAATTTCAAATGTTAGAACAATTAATCAACTTGCCTCCAGAAATTGTAAATGTTCTAATACTGGAAGTTTTAAAGAAGAAATTGGATAAACATTTGTCTGAAATGCATTTGTCTGAAAAAGGTTTCCTGCCTAAGCAGGGGGCTGGACTAGAAGACCTCCAAGGTCCCTTCCAACTCTGTTATTCTATAAATGGAAATGGTAAGCAGAGAATATTCAGAATGAAAATGCAGAACACTAAGTGATCAAAATGTTAGTCATTTGGTTCTAATCTTCGCACCTTTTCATTCCTACTAACCAGCTGTAGAGAGCCAATAGTAAAAGTAACCAGATGGCAAATCCTTTCTAACTATAGTTTTATCTTGTTTGCCAGCAGTTAAAAACATCTTGCATTCCAGTGGATAGACTGTATTCAGTAACTGATTTTGAACAATTAAATTATTAAATAGTTAAATAACAAAGGAATCTTGGAAAAGGAAGAAAGGTTAAATATGTGAATGTGATACTAAATTACATCCTGAAATGTATAACTTTCTAAATATACTTTATCATGGATAGGCAGCAGCAGCTAAGAATGCTTATTCCAGTGGAAAGTCTCTAGAGCAGTTTTTCAAAGTTGCCAAGGTTGAAAAATGCTGTTCTTGTATATTTGATTTAAAATC